AGGTTTGTTAAGGAATACAATCTGCATGTCACTACTGTATGTCAATACAGATGAGAACAGGGAAATATTGGCCAATTTAACCATGAATCCAATCTTTAATGACTCTGCTAATAACAACACTTATTCAATGGAAGCCAATTAATAAACTGGAAGATGTCAAGTTTCTGCCTTAAAAAAAATTGACCAAAACTTTAATCAAGAACAGAGATGAACAGAAATGAAACCCAGTGCCGTCTGAAACTCTACCTGGAGATCCCCATCTAAGAAGTAAGTCATGCTGAAGGAGAAGTGTATTCAATCCAGCAGAAAAAGATCTTTTACAGTATTCAATTTAGGACTGACTGCAGATTCAACTTTAATTAGACCAGTCTGTGCAATCCCAGAGTAGACTTTAGCATGGAGCCAAAGGTAATTTAAAGTCAAAAGATGCATACTCTTACACACAATGCCTTTAATGACCAAATAGTCAGGACCTCACTTTAATGTCTCATCGGAAGGACCTGACTTCCTACAGAATAGTGTCATCATACTAGAGCACCTTTTGTTTTTAGTTCTAGTCCAGCCTTTATTAAAATACACACGTTTGATGTGCATAGTAAATATTTTTGACATAAAGATACTCATGTTAAAAAGAAAATATAAATATATAAAGGTATACAGTGTTTATAATGCATTTTAGATTATTTATTTCTGATCACCTGCTATCCCCTCCAGCTTCTAAAACTCCAACAAAACCTTGTTCTAACCTACATACTGTATACTAGGGCTTGATCCTATCACAACTTATATTTTATTTAAAGGCCTTCTCTCATTTGTCATCCTTCTAAATTTCTTAAAATTAATTGTTAAGCACTCATCTCCGATTATATGGATCACATTGCCTATCATACTATTAGTTGCCTGATTAACCTTCATGGTGGTTGATCACTGTGCCTACAAAATTTCCTTTCTGACAGGCTCTTTTGCTTTGCTTTGTTTAATAAAGAAAGACATATGCAAATACTCTTGCAATGTGAAAAGACTATTTACCCTTGGTCTAAATGCAGACTGACAAAACAGTTATTTAAAGATTCACTTACAGTGCACAGTTTGAGTATTCAGTAACATTATTTAACATCAACAAAGTGTAATGTTTTCTTCTGGATAAAGTTTTGTATTTATGATTTAGAATTATTGTGCTGACATTTTCCAAAGGTCTTGTAACACACTGTAAGATGCCATTAGAAATTAAAGTGAGAAAAATATATAACGAAGGGCTGGCACAGTGGTGCACTGTTTAGCATTGCTGCTCTGTGGTGCTGAGGCCCTGGGTTCAATTCCAGACCTAGAGTGCTGTCTGTGTTGAGTTTGTATGTTCTCCCTGTGTTCATGTGGCCTTCCACTGGGTACTCTGGTTTCTTCCCACAGTCCAAAACAAACCGGTGTGTTATCGGCTTCTGGGAAAACTGACCCTAGGTACAGTATAAGTGTGTGTTTGTCTGTGTGTCTGCCCTATGATATCCAGTCCAAGGTATATCCTGCTTTGCAACTGCTGCTTGCCGGATTAGGCACTGGCTCCCCCGCAGACCTTAACTGGGAGAAGAGGTTATGAAATAGATCAATATAGATATATAATTAAACTGGGTTTTTAACCATTTCAGTTGTTCAGTTTCCTGTTATTGAAAATCTAACAGGTTGATGGTATTTTATTCATTGTCCCCTGTTAGATATCAGACTGTAGTCAGTCTGCCACACAGCTTTTTCACTTCATTGTTTATTTTTTTAGTTTTCCTCATTTTAGACTTAGTTGATTATAAATTCTCATGTCCAGCACATCCTACCGCATTTCTGAAAAGCTGAAATTAGGGACACTGGGGTTACCAACACGTCAACTTCAATCTCTTCTGCCTGTGTTTAAGTGAGGTGTCCTCAGTTTGTGTGTTTTGGGTTGTTCATCAATTTGCAGAGCTAACCCATCGCCCACGTGTCACCTTACTGAGGCTGTCACTGTCACACTAAGCTAAAGAAGATACGAAGTGTTAGAAACCACACACACCAACTGCACAGCAAATCAATGACAACGATATTTCAAACAAAACATGAGGCTCAAAATTGTTTGAAGCATTATGCATTACAAAAACACTGTGTAATCTTATCTGATGGGCTTTTAAGGAGGGCTCTAAAATTGCAAGTCCCCTACAACACACATCACCCATTTTCACACTAATTTTCATTGAATATGAAAAACAACTCCTACGTCCACTTGTACGTGAAATGTTTTTGTTTGTAAGAAAAACACAATAAATTTGAAATTATATCCAAAAAGACTGCATTTTGAAGAACAGTTTAGGATGATTCATAAAATTAGGAAGTATGAGACAGAGGATGTTTTGCAGCACATTACATCACATATTCCAGTCTGAAGCCCATCTTTTACAGGATGTTGAAGGATGTTTTGAGATCGAAATAACACAGTATGCTGCAAAATTCAAATTGCCACACACAATAGGCAGAAACACTTTGCACCAGGGAATGATTATTTTCACATTCACGAATCATCTGAAAATCAGACGTCGATTGTAGAATGTAAAAAACGCACGTGACAGAACCTTGAATCTGCCAAAATGGCTGATATCACAGCAGTTATGTTTACTGCTTCTTTGTCTATTGGCTGATGTAAGAATACAAAGTGTCTATATCGTAAGGGTTCTTGCTAACATTAAGGAAATTCAAGGGTTTTCATTAAATTTCAAGTGAATCAGACAGATAAGAGGTATTACAAATGAAGTGTAGGCTACCCATATTGTCTGCAGTTCAATTGTCTTTAGAAAATGTATTTTGACAATATCAGTGATTAGCCTATTACAGAAATCGATACGTGCACTGAAATAAAGAAGAATCTTATTTTGTAATCAAAGCATTAAGTTCTACATGCTATTAAGTGTTATTTATTATGTTAAAAAAGTGTCTAAGGGCTGACATGTACAGTACCAATCCCAAAATGCATGCTTTGTCCATCATTACCATACTCCATTGGTAGTAAAAATATCCCTTTATTACTTACACTGCTAACATTTTGGTTTCATTTCAGAGATCCTGTACTCAGCAACTGATATAAACAGTAACATTAACTAACTGCTACCTTTTGAGGTGTAATGTTCTGATTGAGTCCACAATGAAAGTGAGACTTGCACACGTGGTGTGGAGACATTTTTTCTTCCTTCATTCTTTAGTGTATATTTCTTCTGAACACTTTGCAGAGGTTCATTAAGTGTGCATGTTTCTGTTTATAGTTAGTTCACAACCTGCTTCTTGCTAAAAATGTGGCTTTGATGGTTGAGGACTTTTAATATGAATGCATGTTTTCTAAATTGTAATAAGACAAACTTTATTACAAATGTATGTTTCTATATAAAAACCTGTGAATACATCACTAGAAACAAAAGAGCACAATATTTATTTTTTTAATAAAAAATATCCATTATCTTTTGTTGTCTGTCAAATTAATTTAAAAAGTTTGCCCTTGGGTCTAAAAGTGCCACAGTGTTGTGGGCAATATGCTGATTTTATGTAGTGAATTGTGACACGTTACCCATCATACGCCAACTTGATAAACCAGCTCCAACTTAACTTTAAAATAAAAAGGAAATGTTTTTATATCATTTCAATGCTATACTGACATATTTAGCTATACAGACACTGAGGTAGGCAGTGTGTATGTCTATAAGTGATGAATGGTAAAGGTTCTGATGACAATGTGTGTTAGAGGCAAAGACTGCATCTTAAACTAAAAGTCAAAATATAAACATGTTGATGTTACTTCCTACAGGGCAAGGGGATCTGCCATCACAAGCTTCTCACATTCCTGTCTCTACTTTGAACGACAGGACGTCTTACAGAATAGTCAGAGCCTGGGAAATGTTCCGTGTTCTGTAAATATACTGTAACGCTACGGGCCCCCCCACCATCGGAGACTCAAACTCGGGCCTCCGGCCCTGTTAAAAGCGAAACAGGGACCCAGCCTCTTGAGCCAAAGGGAAATCTCCCCTCAGCCCAGCAGCTACAGTCCCTGCTAATCACAGGGAAGGGCAGTGACGTCAGCACTCTGGTAAGCCAGCTCTCACAAGCAATGGAGGCCATGTTCATTACACTATTTTAAGTCTGCTACACCCATGCTATGATAAGAGTTTCTCTAACACCACCAGTCTCCCTCAGTGGTGTGCAACGTGTACCTGGACTTTACACCCAGAGACACCTGCTCATACAGGCCGAGTCTGAAGAGCGTGCTAGCTATGCAGCCCAAGTAAACTGACTATAACAAGCTGATTCACCTCTGTCATCTCTAAAGGGGGCCTGGTTAGAATACCACTATTCCAGCTGAGCTCCACCAGTTATTGCAGGAATGGGTAGCCTTGACAAAAAGATAAAATCTGTTATACCACACTGCAACAAATCAGCAAACACAAAATTTTGCTAACACATGCCAATTGGTAGTTGTCTTGTATGCCATCAAGAGACTGAAGCAGCCACAATGAAGATATAGAAGAGCTGCTGCAAACCTGAAATCTCTTACAGGTTAACAGTAGGAAAAGCTCATGCTAAAGTCATGCTCTGTATGTTGCTTAATTAGACCAATTTAACACTGTTTCAAAAGTGTAAACTTAATGATATAATGGCTTAAAACCCCTTTCTGGAAAGGCACTTATGAAAAACAGAGACATTTATGTGAAAGAATATTGTTATGTTGAGGAATGGTATTTTAATTTCTAAAGAGAAAATGGAAGATACTATGTTACTGTATATTCATAGGATCAACAAATTCATAGGATCCTTCAATTATCATGTCCCAGTAAATCAAAAGGGATCCCTTTTTTTTTTACTTACTGCTTACTAAACAAATAAAAGAGGAGATATTAACAGTTAATATGCAATAAAACAAGAAAACAATAAACAAACGTGATGTCTGTAGTTTAGGCTCTTTTGCACAAGACAAGCAATTGGAACATCTGTACAGTACTTACCTCTGGTCTACCCTCATAGTATGTCAGTTTTGCTTTTGTCAATACGAAGACCCTCTCTTTAAAGTTGAGAGGAGAAGTGCGTTTCTTTTGCTGAGACCGCTTTATCAGAGTTTCTTCTAGGATTGGCTCGGAATTCATCTCCAGCTCCGGGGCACTAATCCTGCCATTGAACGTGCAATCTGGAGAGCTAAAACCCAGAAACCAAAATATCACCCTGTGGATTCAATGACTTCAAAGACTGAAATTCAGGTTGTCAGAGGTAGCCTACTTCCTGGTTAATCATTAAAAGATTGTCGATTAAACACTCATTAGATTACTGAACAGGTAATAAATGATTACACAGGCAGCCCACATAAAGACTGACTGAATTAGAGCATAATGTCACTGGAACGCAAACTGCACGTTTTCCTTTTTTTGGCTTCTTACTTTAAAACGGGTGTGTCACATCTCGCAGAAGTATTTAAATTATTAAAAATACAAATATCATTATTGAGAACTTCACTTGCCAGGATACAATTTACTCACCAAACAATGTCTATGTGCATGTTAAAGTTTGAACAACAATGTATAACATTTACCGAGAAAACAACTATTTTTAGTTGCCCGCATTTAACTAAGCAACTGTATAGGCAAAAGCCATACTGTACCTCCTTATCCATTAAACATCGAACAAAGCTGAAAGAATAATTATTCGTACTTCCTTCTTTTTATTTTGCAAAACGATCGCAATTAGGCACAACATACTGTAAGGAACTTTTAGCAACAAGTACGAACTCATACTGATAATCTATTACAAGTATCCCACTCATTATTGATTTCAGACCCGACAAAATCTGAATAAGTCGGGGGGCAGACAGTATTATATCTACCAGCCCACAGTCTCGACACACCTGTCTACGGACTGATGTCTGCGGTTGCGCTTGCGGTACCATTCCATATCCTCGGCATGACCGATCCACACAGCTCATGTGACTAGAACTACTGTTCATAAAACCCAGGAACGTCCCAGATCCACCTTGTTTAAACTTATGCCCTGTATCTGTGCTAATGTTTGACCACACTGTTAATGATTAACGTGTTCCTCGTAGTATAATTAGTTTCATATAATAGCTGTTATTACCTGACTCATGAAGTTCAAGAATCCCTGATCCCCTACCGCAGGTTTCGTTTGATTTTTCTTTCGAGCACTAACCCGACCACCTTGTGAGGGAAGGCGAATAGACTGGTGTCAAAAATGAGGAAACGGCGTCTGTGAAGTATTGGTCTCGTTAACTTTGCACTCACTACAAGGAAGTTGTGAAACCCTGCAGAACATTCTCACGCATTTTTACTGGGGCGCTGCAACCTATGAGGAGTAATACGTTCATGTGACCACATTAAAATAGACTCTCGAACATATTAAGTGTAAAATATCCACATGTAAGTATGGTGTTGCTGTTACTGTACATTCAGGATATTTGGTAGAACAGGCAGGACGGAGGGATGGAATGTCATTACCTACTTACATTTTTCACAATTTCGATTTCCTTTTTACATCACCGTCCACCCTCGAAGGCAACAGACAGCTTACCCTGCACGAACTGAAATAATAAAAACACAATCTGTTAGTAAGAACTAAAATAAGAGCTGGTACTTTCGGTTCCTCCTATAATCGGAAAAACAAATTATCAAAGAAAATGTTCACCTCCACATTTTTTTTCTGGCTCGTGTGGCGAATGGTTCACACAACCAACGTGCACTCCTGCGATGAAGACAGCAGGTATAAGACTGAGACTGAATATCTGTTTTCCCAAGAAAAGCTGTGAATACATTTCACACGTAAGATGTTAAGAAATAAAAGCGAAACTGAAAACCCCCCGTTGCTGTTTGACTTTTTAAATGTGCTTGTTGAAATAGCTACACAACAACTGTCCCTTTTTTGCCTGCACACTGTGACAACCTCCAGGATCAGGAAAACTGTACTATCACAGGCTATGGTTTTTAAATACAAAGCAGCATACATTTTAATTGGAAGAAGACTAATTGTTCTGTGAAATGCTGCTCTCAGTCATATTAGCACTTTGCAACAACTTAAAATTCTTACTTAATTCTATGTATTTCATACAGAGGGTTAGGATTGTAACACAACGGGGGCTCAGGCGGGCGCCCTTGCCGCATCTGTTCGGCCCCTGCACCGTCCGGGGCTCGAACCCGGGACTTCCGCGTCTCTCTGCAGTGACCTAGCCCCGTGAGCTAAAGAGAGATCTCTCTACAGCCCAGTAGCTGTGGTCCTGCTATCACAGGGAAGGGCAGTGACGTCACCCGCTCTGGTACGCCAGCTCTTACACACAGTGCTTGTCAGCCGTAAGCGTTACACTCTCCCCCGCTTAAATCGCCGTCCCCGGCGAAGGGCTATCCCATCCCACTACTGACACCAATGTAACACAACGGGGGCTCAGGCGGGCGCCCTTGCCGCATCTGTTCGGCCCCTGCACCGTCCGGGGCTTGAACCCGGGACTTCCGCGTCTCTCTGCAGCGACCTAGCCCCGTGAGCTAAAGAGAGAGCTCTCTACTGCCCAGTAGCTGTGGTCCTGCTATCACAGGGAAGGGCGGTGACGTCACCCGCTCTGGTACGCTGGCTCTTACACACAGTGCTTGTCAGCCGTAAGCGTTACAGGATCATCCTGGAGGCATGAGGTCCAGGTGTATTTTCGACCTTTAAGATAAACCAGTTGTACTTATTTTGGAATAAACTGTGCGGACACTCATATCTGCAAATCTGTTGACTGAACTTCAGTCAGTCCTTTTGAGCCACCCTGTTTTGAAGACTTCACATTACTTTAAATGTGATGTAAGGAGTCATGCAAACACTATTTCTTTCTGTTTTGTTTTATGATCCAAATAACCTGACCTCTTGAAATAATGTTTGTTTGGTGGTTATAATGGTTAATAAGTGTTACTTCACCAACATTTTATGAATGGCAGCTTTACAAGCAACATCACCTAAACCATCAGGACTGAAGGAACCATCAGAGCCCTATAGACCTCGACAGCAATTAAGCCAAACAGAAGTAGAGTTTTAATCCCAAAACAGCAATTTCTCTGTGGTTATTGGCAATACATGTATTTTATGTATTTCATAATACAACACATTATATCTGTTTATATTTGTTCACATATAAAACCATTCGTTGCTTAGACTGCATTGTGACTGGAACATTCTTAGAACATTACTAAAAGCTTACCAAGTGGTCGCTTTTTGTCTGTGAAAAGGTCAATTTCTTGAACTGAGTGAAGAGCATATGTACTATACATAATTTTCTCATGACTGCACAATTAGAAAAACTCCACCTACTTTTTCTAATAATTAGAGTAGAACTTTAAAAGCAATTTGTGTCATATTTTCTGTCTCTTCATAAAAACCATCTAAGATCCTATTTTACATTCAAGTGAATTGCTAATTACATGTAAGTGTTAAACACCAACAGTCTCCTGTTTATTGGCATTTTAATACTTTTATCATACGTCTTCATCAGAATAGGAGCAATTTCTGCTTTGAAACAAAAATGAAATTTCCTTCATTTAACATCACGGCAGTGTACAGTATAATTTTTCAGAAGATTTATTCTTTCTGACTGTTTAAATGAAAAGATATTATCAGCTTCAGCTGATTACAGTCTTAATTTTAGATGTGTTCAGCTCTGTCTTTTTTTTGTACCACGGCCTTTGAGTCATTTGGTTTGGTCTACAAATGTATTCTGTGATTCTATTAAGTGCATATAATAGTTTCTGGGCAAAGATAAACCTTCTAGCAATTTGATAAAATCCTAATTCTAGTCCAATTTCATTTTAAACTACATAACTGTCATCTTTCTTTTCCATCCAAAATATCAATTTCTCATCCACTGCACACGAAATTGAACTCATTGTCTGATAGGGAAAGACTGTGTCAACTTTAGCAATGCCACTGCAAAATAATCCTGAATAATTATCCAGCCACATGTGGCACACAACAGAATCCCACCCTTTTTTAAATGCACAGTATCTGGTACATGAGCCCTTGAATATGTATAATTAAAAAACATGAAAATAAACTTTTAGGGTAAAAGTGCACCAGACAAAGCATTTTGCCCCATCTTTTGCTTCCCTTTTCTGGAAGCTATTTTTAAAACTGAATGTAAGTGGTACATTCATCAATAAACAATGTGCAATGGGAACTCTTTGTTATTGTTGGGAGAAATAGGCAAGAGGTTTTGCGAGAAAAACCGAGGTGCAAATTTTTGCTGATGGAAAACACGTTCAAAGTAGGCCGGCTGCCTTGTAATTGTTTTGTCTTCAGGCAGTGACATAACTTGGTGGCTGAGAGGAGAATGCTGACCAAGCTCACAGCCATCATGAACAACACCTCTCATCCGCTTCATGGGACTGTTATTGGGCAGTGGAGCACTTTTAGCAACAGACTGCTCCAGCTACGGTGTTCAAGAGAACGTTTCCGCAGGTATTTCCTCCCGGCGACTGTCAGGGTGTATAACGCTGCCCTAGGCTAGGACTGTTAGCCCTTCATTTGCTCGTCTATGGACAGCATGTTTGCTCCATTGTACTTTTTGGACACTCAATCTGCATATACCTAAGCACATTTTGCACATATTTTATTGTTTTTACAGTGACTATGATCATATTTTGCACACACCTATGTATTTATTTTTATTTATTTACTTTATTTTATATTTATTTTGTACTGTACATATTCTAATGTTTCGTGTATTCTGATGTTTGTTTTTTGCTTGTCTTGGGCTGCTGTAACACATCAATTTCCCTTTGGGATCAATAAAGTCTTATCTATCCATCTAACTTTCCATTTCATAAGGAGCCAGTCTGCTGAGGATAAATCTGTGTAAAATCTCCCTGTAGCCTCTGTCCGTCTAGCTGGAGTACCACTTTTTAGTACTACTGTTCTATGGTGCCAAAGTTTATGACAAACATGAAAGCAGTATATTAATTAGGGTAACACTGAAGCCTATAGGAAGGAACGAGCTAGTGAGAGACCATGATAAGAGCAGAATTAATGCATCAGGATGTGGTTGAGGGTGTGATGAAAATAACAACATGATGTTTGTGGCCAAGCATGAGGTAGTTTGATTTCATGCTTTTACTTTAACACTGGTATTGCAATACAAGGGCAATACATGCAGGAGAAATAAAATACATTTTATTCATACAACATAATTCTTTGGACATTCGTTAAAAGAAATTCCCTCTGTGTACTTATATACAGTATAAACTGTATATTCTATTTTAAGATGTAAGAGCATTTTTTTTTGGGAAGCAATTAAGAAGTCTTACAAAATGCTAGGCTATATAGGTAAAAGCATAGAATTTAAATCAAGGTGTGTGATGTGAAAAATGTACGACAAAAAACAAACCCAGACATATATTTGGCACTTAAGGGAACATCCTATGTTAACTGAAAGAAATTAACCTTTTTAATCTTGAACAGAGAAGACTACGAGCTGACCTGATGCATGCACTTCTTTACCCAAAGGGTTGTGAGAGTATGGAACGAGCTACTCAGCCATTTTGTTGAAGTCAATACACTGGCTTCTTTCAAGAAACAGCTGGATAATATCCTTGGATCAATAAAATACTAACAAACAAATGGCTAGATGAACTATTCTTATTTGTAACTATTCTTTTTAAATCCTTTTTTTACTTAATGCAATCGAAATAAATAGATAAATAGATCCTTTATTGATCCTTTGAGGGAAATTGCAGTGCAACAGGAGCTTAACAAAGACAACACAGCAACAGTGTAACGAATGATACAATAATAATAATACAATACATACAATACAATCAGTACAGTGAGAAGTGCACTAAGAAGAGTTATGCACAGTCCAGAACACACAAAGAACAAAACAGAACAGTACACAAAAAAGTTGTATTGCACAATATAAATATAAATATAAATGTATTGCACAGGTCCCTGGCATATATTGCACAAAAACGGTTGTAAACGAGAAAAAGAAAAAGAACAGATGTATCAAATAGGGTAAGTGGTAATTTTAGAGAAATTGGAACATTTGGTTTCCTGAATCGTGATTAATGTTCTGTGAGTAGTGGTTCTCTGGTGTCTTTTCCTAGCACTTTGGAACTACCAGCTTGTCTTGAGTTGGAACATTATCAATTCTAAATTCAATGCAGCCAGTATCACATTGTTCCTCAAAGGAATCATTCAAATGTTTTTAGAAACAGTCAGATGCTTTTTTTCCAAAATGCAAAATCCAGCAT